TAATTTCAGCCCAACTTGACTCAACTGAAATCAATGATAAAAAATGCCATAAACCCGAAAAAACTCAGTTCGGTTTCGCTAATTTGTGAGCAAACGCGTTCTGAGGGTTTTCTTCATATTTTTTTTAATAGAATAAGGGGCAAACGAGCATGCGGCTCACCTGATGTTAAGTGACTACCGCCGCCCATGATCAACCGCAACACCAGAAGAATTGCGGGTGCGTTGCCGGCCCTTTAGAAAGGAGTAAGCTCTTTTCTTGAAGGTCCCCAGGTCGTATCGGTCCGGAAAAATCGCCGGTGGTAAACTATTCCACAGAGAGGTTGTACGTGGAAGAAAACTCCTTGTGAAACGTACAGTGGTGGACCGCCAAGCATCCAGATGGTGTGGATGGTATCGGGACGTTTGCCGTGTAGTGCGTTCACGAAATTTGGCGGCTGGGATTAATCCGAATAATTCTTCAGAGCACTCCCCGTGATAGATGCGATAAAAAACGCAAAGAGATGCAACATCTCTTCGCAGCGCCAGTGAATCGAGCCGATCGGAAAGCACTCGGTCGTCGACGATTCGAGCCGCTCTGCGCTGGATGCGGTCAAGTGGAAGGAGCTGGTACTGGGGAGCCCCAGCCCAGAGATGGGAACAGTATTCCATGTGCGGCCGAACCTGCGCCTTGTAAAGTTGCAGGCGGTGTGCCGGCATGAAATACTGTCCCGCTCTGCTGAGCACGCCAAGCCTTTTAGAGGCCAATTTGGCCTTCCCTTCTAAATGACCACGAAACTGCACGTCACTCGATATGTCGACGCCGAGGATTCCGATACTGGCTGAGGCAACAAGGGGAGTGCCTTGAAACTGAGGGGATACGACAAAGGGGTTCTTTTTAGCGGTTAACGCGCAAACTTGTGTCTTCTGGGGGTTAAACTGGACTAGATTTAGTCGCCCCCAATCCGAGACTGTCCAGCAGAGACTCGACTTCAGACACAAGTTTGTCCCGGCACTCGGAGACGTTTTCCCGAGAAATATTGGCTCGTCCGGTGTAAAGAGCATCACCAGTGCTGTCATCTGCATAGCAATGAATGTTACGGGTATGCAACATGTCATTGATATGCAGAAGAAACAGCGTTGGCGATAGCACGCAGCCCTGTGGAACACCAGCATTAATAGGCTTGCAATCGGAGCTTGCACCGTCTACAACGACCTTGATGCTCCGATCTGCAAGAAAGCTGGTGATACAATCGCACAATTTCTCGGGAAGCCCATAGGAAGGGAGCTTCGAAAGAAGCGCTTTGTGCCAAACCCGATCGAAGGCCTTCGCAATGTCCAAACTAACGGCCAATGCCTCCCCCTTGAACTCTACTGCCTCCCCCCTCTGTGAGTTAGGTAGACCAGAAGATCACCAGCTGACCGACCACGGCGAAAACCGTATTGGCGGTTACTAATCAGCTGGTGATCTTCAAGGTACCTCATGAGCTGGCAGTTTACAATGGACTCCATTGTTTTGGAGAACAAGGAGGTGATGGCGATTGGCCGGTAGTTGGACGGGTCAGAGCGGTCGCCTTTTTTAGGGATCGGGTGGACGTAAGCCGTCTTCCATGATTTTGGGACTACGCCTAAGGAGGAGTACCGGAAAAGACGCGTTAAAACCGGTGCCAACTCTGGAGCACACGTCCTCAGCACAATTGGGGGAATTCCGTCAGGCCCACTCGACTTGTGGATGTCCAGGGAGAGGAGTGCTTTGCGAACCGAGCGCTGTGTGAAGTGCACTTCCGGCATGGAGCACTCACACCGCGGGATGGTCGGCGGCGTACTCCCCCCGTCATCGAGAGTCGAGTTAGACGCAAAGAAAGAGCCTAGAAGATCGGCTTTCTCCTTTGCGGTATGGGCCAGTGAGTCGTCCTCCCTGTGCAGAGATGGAAGAGATGGCTGACAAAAATTCCCCTGGACAGCCTTGGCGAAAGACCAGAATGCACGGGTTCCAGAAGGAAGGCGAACTAGTTTCTCGCCAATTCTGCCTATGTGCTCTGACTTTGCCTTGGCAATGACTCTTTTGAAGGACCTAGAGGCGGAATTATACTTCTTTTTTAGAGCGCTGGTATTTACATCCCGGGACGCTGATGCATCAGCCCAGGCTTGGTAGCACTCCTGCTTATAGCATGATGCTATTTTACAGGAGCGACCAAACCATGGCTGAGACTTGCCTCCAATGGGCACCACAGAGGAAGGAATAAAAAGTTCCATACCCTGAAGTACCACATCGGCAACAGAATCTGCAACAACGTTGGGATCATCCGGCGAGAAGCAAACCCGCCCCCAAGGGTAGGATGCAAAGAAAGACCGCATCCCATCCCAATCGGCTGACCTATATGCCAAACACGGCGGCAGCCTGCAGAATGCAACCGCGATTTCAGCGTGAGTGGCACCACACTCCGGACCAGACAATGGTCCGAGGAGCCTAAAGGGGCGTCGACGGAAATCTGATAACCGTCCGGGTGAGAGGTCAGCATAAGGTCCAACAGGGAAGGTGTATGATCCTCCACATCTGGAATCCGCGTAGGCGAAGTAACCAGTTGTGTCAGACCATATACCAAGGCAAAATCATGAACAGATCTCCCCGCATGCACGGTTAAACGTGAACCAAGCCATTCGGCGTGATGGGCGTTAAAGTAGCCGAGGATCACGATCTCTGCGGAGGGATCTGCTGTAGCAACGAATCTGCAGCCATTTGGACGTGGTCGAAGAGTCGGTCTGTTTCGGCATTACCGCTATGGGACCTATAGAGGCACCCGTAGACGCGCGGATGGTCGTCGCTGTCTACGCGTAGCCAAAGGATGGACAGGTCCGAACCTTCAAGTCTGCCGAGGCGTCGAGAGCAGATGTCCTCTCTGACGTAAACGCAAACTCCAGCCCGAGGCACAAAGGAGTGTTCCAGTTTGTATCCCGGGTAGGAGAGATACGAGACATCAGCCGGAGAGGACACCTGCGTCTCGGTCAGAAAGAGCAGAGCCGGCCTCGCCGTCTCGAGATGGTAGTGGACGGCGTTTAGGTTAGAGTGAAGTCCCCTGATATTGCAGAAATTCACGGACAGCGTGGCAGTGGTCGCCTTGGTCTTGTTGCTCCGTTTGCCCCGAGCAGTTGTAGTCTTGAGCGGAATTTTGCCCCCCCCCCCCCCCAGAATACGCGGGGCAGCCTGAGTACCCATGCTCAGAAGTGGAGAAACACGGTCGTGGATGCTCAGCGAGGGATTCTCCAGGGTGCTGGTACCCTCCTGGGGTAGTCGATCATTATTTAATTCCGCTACCATGTTGATGGGGGGGGGGGGATTTGGGCCTCCGGCCACCTGCACTCACCAGACGAAACGCGGAAGCAGAGCTTCCACTTCACGCCGGTATTCTGTGAGGTCGTGGTACCACCCCGGTTTGAGCCGGCCCATACATGCAACAGCAAAGCCGCCGCGTGGCTCTACCACTGTTAAAATCATAATTATTTTTGATTTTGTTTGTTAATATTTTTATAAAATATTTACATGCCATTGAGACATGAGTAACCATTTCTTAAATTTTCGTTTGTCTGTCTGTCTGTCCGAGCTAATCTTCGGAAAGGCTGAACCGATTGTAATAAAATGCACGAACAAATAGGGATTAATACCAGAAGTGATTTAGATTAAATTGTATCCGAGAAATTAAGTTATTCAGCAGGCTACGACTGCAACAAGAGGCTTTAGGAATACAGGTGTACCAAAGAGGTGAGTTTAACAGTTGAAGAAAAGGCTCGTTGATTCCCTCTTACATCATAAACATGTATATTTAATATAGACGAATAAAGGTTTAGTGGATGAGTATCGTAATACGTAGTTCTTAAAAAGTATATTGTAAATACAAGATATTAGCGGGGCTAAAAAAATTCTTTCAGTAACTCCAAAATAATACAATTTTATATTTTTTAAATAAAATCTTTAATGCACATCATCATAATCACCGTATTTAAAACGACTCGACACATTTACACACCAATGAAGCATAAAAAATACACAATAACGACAATAGAGTATTTGCGCAATTTTAAAGGCGCATATGCGTATTTGCATACCTGGTTTATTTACCGCCTACCCTCCCCGCTTCTTGTCACCATTGTGTACCTAAAACAGCCCGGCCAAGATAGTACGCGCGGAAAATACCAAGAAGAATGTAATATAGTACCTAGACGTTATTAATGATAAGGTCGTGGAAACTGTCCATGCGGTCGAGCAAAACATTACAAGACCCATCGTAGTAGAACACAAATACTCTTGATATAATGGCTTAGACGGTAAGAGACTGTAGTCATCTGACATAATAATAAACACTATAATAAGGTTTTTATTTAAGCTGTAGACCTTACCGAATTAAAAATACAAAAAGAACAAAAACATAAAGTAATAAGCGAACAAATACCAATGTACAAAATTAATACTAAAAATAATGTGTTAGTAAGAAAAGCACTTATCCTTTGTTAATTTACGAACTAGCTGATCCTACTTAAGGCGTCTCAAAAACAAAAGACCTCTGGCCCTATTATAGAATATGATGAAGCGTATAGTTTCAAAAACTGCTAAGTCCAGTAGCCTTTAAATGCCAAGGGAGAGAATTTATTGTCATTTTTTTCTAGAATTACTCTAACGATTTCATTTTTCAGGTTTGTTTAGGATAAGTATCTCAAATTCATATAAACATCTATTTGCAGTATAAGAATGCTTCCTGTAAATGTAAAAGACGAAAAAGTGGTGGACTTAGCAGAATTTGAAACTGAAGCTCGGAAATTGCTGGTTTTGAATCTGATAAACATGGACATTGCTGTTTTTGATATGACAATTTTGAGGTATACTTCATTCAACCTAACTTGATACTTTGAAATTCTCAATGAAAATAGTATTTATTTTGAACATAATTAATTAAGTTGGTAATGGGTATACTTAGAGATAAATAAAGAAATTGATAGTAACATTTTTTTTAAAACTTTATTGGTAAAAATTAAATCATTAGGTCATTTAAAATTATTTGTTCTTGGCACGAAGTTTCTAGATCAACATCATTATTTTCATCCTCTTCATTTTCCACGTCATCGACTGGTACCGTATTTGGTATCAATTTATCGTAAAAAGACAACATCTCATAACTCCTCCAGTCAGCGTCAAAGTGAGTACTTAATAATTTGTTGACATCTCTAATTTTTGTTGCTTTAAGGGTTCCCGATCCCAATCGTATATCTTGCGTATTGATCATGTTCGTATATTTGCCTTTTTTACAGACATTTCTATATGCTCCGGTGTCAGCAACATAATGTATTTCACCTTTTACCAATATATTTCCAACTGTTATTTTAGAACGCTTCAATATAAAACGCTTGCACTTCATAAAAGGCACATGCCATGTTCCAACGGATTTTAAAACCTTTTTGGCAGCGTCTTTCCAATCTTTGACCGGACATTCTTGTCCCACTGAAATGAGACTGGAGTATTCTTTTATAATATTCGTGTAACCAGTCGGCTCCAATATTGTGTTTGGCTTGCGAAACTCCTTCTCTATTGTCCCGAAAACACGATCTGCGGGAAGAAAAGAATGGCCCACGACAGGAAATATTATTTCCATCTTCTTTATATGTTGAGGAGCTTCTGTTAACCACTTTTGGCACATTCCTGCAACAGTGGTATTCTTGTTTTGGCCGGCGCACCCATCGGCCATTAATCTTACCGTATTAATTTGAAGAGGAAATGTCGTTGCATTTAATCGATGATAGATCGCAGATGCAATTAAGTTAGAATCTTTCGGAAATCGGTCTTCAGTCCAAAGATATGCAAAAGTACTGTCTTTATTTAACTGTGACTTTGAAGAGCCTGCTACAATTGTGAAATCGAAAAAATAAATCTGTCCAGAATAATATGTGTTCTGATCGGTAATTTTGGGTAGCGGCATGTTCTTTTGGCAGTCGTATGATAATATAAAAACATTCGGGGAATCTTCTTTCAGGTAATTGAAAAAAGTTTGAGCGCGTTTTTTGTGAACTCTTAACTGGATCATCAAATCAATTTTAGTTCTGTTATCTCTAGCTCCCTTAATTTTCTCTGCATATTGCAAACAGACAGAGCACACGTCTGTGTGCGGCGAACCGAATCCCAAGTTAAAATTGGTGTTAAACACATTCCTGAAATAACATCTTTTAACTTTTAAATGTTCTGGCGCTTGATTATCATATATTTTATATAACTTGTTTATATTTAGTTCGGCAGGAAGATAAAGTCTTACGCTGCTACTTCCCCGGCAGTAATGCGGCTCAGAACACTTTAGTTTTTTTACAAATGCCATAATTGATGTTTTTCTGTCAAAATATTTACGAGATTTACGGTCTCAATTTCTTTGCTATACCTTCAACACGATACCTATTAATTCCAAGTACATCTAAGAACGTTTTCTAACAAACTCTTATAGTTTTATTTATCGAGCGACTATAAATGTAATACCTTGTACTTATTACTTTTTCTTTGCGAGTTGCCTTACGTGGTCTATGTATGTAAGTAGAACCCCTTTTATATGTTTCAGTATAAAGGCATCCTCTGACTGTTTATCCTTATTTTTATAAAAAGCAGTATGAAATGAATTCAAATCGTTCATTTTTAGCGAGTCACACTCGAATCTTTTTTTTATGCGTACATTTAGGGTTTTCAGGTAATTTTTTGCAGAATATCTGAAAAAAAATGAAAAACAACCTTATAATTTATATCTAAAATGAAATTTAGCTGAGCCACACTGACGACGTAACTTTTTAATTACGAAAGGTGTTCCGTGCTTTATCAGAGATAATACAAAAAAGAGCATAGAGTACACCATATATAAAGAAAATTAACAAGGATCAATCTATTCCATCCACAATACACCTCTCTAACTTCTGCTGGTTTCGCTTCCATTTTTCTGGGTTGCTCTGTCGTTTCCGAGCCTTGTTTTTATCTACAACGGTTGGGATCTTGTCCATCTTTGAAAAATATGCACATTTATTGTGAAATTTTAGCGTTAACCACTTAAATTATTTAGTTTTCTTTCACGTAACGAGAGCGAGAATGTTAATATCCGCCATACTATTTGTTGTGACACATGATCAAAATGGCGGCATGCCATTGGCTAAATTGGACTTAGCTGTTGAAACTAACTGCGAAGGACTTTGTTGTTTTTGCTCCCAACATTCAATTTTCGAATGGATTTACTATTGGACTTTGTCAGTTATGATATGTTTGGGTTTACTGAAATTGCGTGAATTAAAATAAAGATAGAATAAAAATGTTGCAACACAACAAAAATGGACTTTGCGGTTTTTGAAACTATACGCCTCATGTGTGCACCAAGACAATGTGCTGAGGGCGTTGATGCTACTCACTAGTCACCTCATCATAGACACGGAACGTTTACGCGTGATTGCGTAGAACGAGCATCCACAAACATTGCTGACGCACCACAGTGTCTAGCATTTCTCAGCACATTGATGTTTTGAACATGTAGGGCACTATGAGACCGCCGCATATAGTTGGCCCATAGACTGCACGTTTGAGAAAGAAGGGGGCGGGTTTGCTTTCCGCTGGACGATCTCAGCGTTATTGTTGATTCTGTCATTGATGTGGTACTTCAGGCTATGGAACATTTTATCCCGTCTTCTTGGTGCCCACCGTAGGCAGTCCCAGCTGTCATAAGCAGGAGTGATATCAGACCTGGGCTCGCGCATCGACGTCTCGGGATGCAAATACCAACGCTCTTAAAAAGAAGTACAATTCTGCCTCCAGGTCCATTAAAAGTGTCATTGTTAAGGCAAAGTCAGAACACATCGGCAGAATTGGTGAGGAGCTAGGTCACCTTAACCTTCCTTCGCAAACCCGTGCATTCTAATCTCTTGCCAAGGTTGTCTCAGGGAACTTCCGTCAGCCATTTTTGCTATCTTTGCACAGAGAGGACGGCTCGCTGGTACATGCAACAAAGGAAAATGCCAATCTGTTAAACTCTTCCGCGGTGTGAGTCCCAATGCGTAGTTCCGTATTTATGGAAGACAGCTTTGGTCCACCCGATTCCTAAGAAAGGCGACCGCTCAGACCTGTTTAACAACAGGGCTGTCACCATCAACTCCTGGTCCCCTTAAATAATAGAATCCATTATAAACTGCCAGCTCATGAGGTACCTTGAGAATAACCAGCTGATTAGTGACAGTTTCCGTCGAGATCCATCAGCTGGTGATCTTCTGGTCTAATTAACTCATAAATGGGTCGAGGCAGTAGAGTACAAGGAGTGAGCATTGGCCGTTAGTTTGGACAAAGCGAAGGCTTCGATCGGGTCTGGCACTAAAACAATAGGTCGCCTTCCTATGATGCTGGCCTCCTATCTTGCCTTGATTTGGTTCCTAACGACCAAACGGGAACGCAGCTGGCTTCTTAAATCGGCTGCGAAGGCCCTTCCACAACGGACCTCTGAGGCACGGGTCTTGCAACTCCTATCAGGGAACAACCTACACCACTACGCTAGGTTCGGGGCAACGAGGTGGGCATGACCCCAGACTCGACCCTAGTTGGACTTTGTACAACGACCTCGTTCCTTAAAAAAAAGGTTGACAACTAAGATTACGGGTCCTTAAGGAATAATCCCGTTCTTGACGTCAGTCAATGGATTTCATTTTCCCATACTTCCCTACTTTTAGGGTAAACACTGAAGAATTTTTAAAATGCATACAGTGGTAGGGCCACACTGCAGCCTTTGAGGTTGCACGCATGGGCCGGCTTAAACTGGGGGGGTAGTACGACCTCATAGAAGACCAGCGTGAAGTAGAGGCTCTGCTTTTGCGTTTCGTCTCGTGAGTGCAGGTGGCCGGAGGCCCAATGTCGCCCCCCCCCCCATCAATGTGGTAGCGGAATTAAATGCAAGACTACCACAGGAGGGTACCAGCACCCCTGGAGAATCCCTCACTGAGCATCCACGATCAAGCTACTCCACTCCTGAGCGTGGGTGCCCCGCGTATTCTGGGACCGAGACACAGGTGTCCTCTCCAGCTGATACTTCGTATATCTCCTACTCGGGGTACGAATTAGAACACTCCTTTGTGCCCTGGGCTGGTGTTTGCGTGTACGTCAGGGAAAGCCTCGTTTTAGACGTCTCGGCAGCCTTGAAGGTACGAACCTGTCCATCTTATGGCTGCGCGTAGATAGCGACGACCATCCCTGCGTCTACGGGTGCCTTTGTAGGTCCCATAGCGGTAATGCCGAAACAGACCGTCTCATCGACCACGTCCAGGTGGCTACAGACTCCGTGCTACAACAGATACTATCCGCAGAGATCGTGATACTTGATGATTTTAACGTCCACCACGCTGAATATGTAGCTTGGTTCTCGTTTAACCGATCATGCGGGTAGAAATGCTTATGACTGCTTTGACATATGGTCTGATACAACTGGTTATCTCGCCTACGCGGATTTCAGATGTAGAAGACCATGTACCTTCCCTGTTGGACCTTCAGCTGACCACTCATCCAGACGGATATCAGGTCTCCGTCGATGCTCCTCTTGGCTCCTCGGACCATTGTCTGGTCCGGAGTATGGTGCCACTCACGCTCTCATCGCGGTTGCGTACTGCAGGTTGCCGCCATGTTTGGCATTACAGGTCAGCCGATTGGGACGGGATGCGATCTTTTTTTCATCCTACCCTTGGAGGCATGTTTGCTTCTCGCCGGATGCTCCCAGCGTTGTTGCTGATTCTGTCGCTGATGTGGTGCTACAGGGAACGGAACTTTTAATTCCATCATTTGTGGTAGCTATCGGAGGCAGAAACCATCCTTTGTTTGGTCGCTCCTGCAAAATCGCACTACGTCATAAGCAGGAGTGCTACCAGGCCTGGGCTCGCACATCGACGTCTCGGGATGCAAATACCAGCGCTCTTAAAAAGAAGTACAATTCTGCCTCTAGGTCTCTCAGGTCCTTTAAAAGTGTCATTATCAAGGCAAAGTCAGAGCACATCGGCAGAATTGGCGAGAAACTAGTTGATCTTCCTTCGGGAACACGTGCATCTGGTCTTTCGCCAAGGCTATCCAAGGGAACTTCTGACGGCCATCCCTCCCATCTCTGCACAGGGAGGACGACTTACTGGCCCATACCGCAAAGGACAAAGCCGATCTGCTGGGCTCTCTCTTTGCGTCCACCTTGACTCTTGATGACGGGGGAACACACCACCGACCATCCCGTGAAGTAAGTGCTGCATGCAGGATGTCCTGTTTACTCAGCGCTCAGTGCGCAGACAGAATATTCATTCGCTCAAACTAAACACACAGAGTAAACATTGAAATGTGAAGTGAAGTTGCAAACGTATCGCCTGCGCTTCACTTTCATCAACTTCATACCAAAAGCCCGGCTTAACGCTCTATACTAAATTGCTATGTAAATAATCGTAGTTATATTTCATCATAGAAAAATTTTTCACAGGTTAGAAATTGAGTGATCGTCTTCTCGAAAGCCCTGTAAAACGCGTGCGAGAGAGACGACTAATCGCTCAACTCAGCTCTTTGCTTTCATTAGTTTCGGCAGTCCATTGCGTGTTAGCTTTGAGACAGAGAGAACACTAAACAGTGCATTTTTCGCAATTTGCCAAGTGTTGACGTTACATAATAAGGCTACAAGGTCGTGACCTGTGTAGACAAACAGAGGAGCGCGCGGGAAATTTGAAATAGTTTGAAACAGTTTACGAGTTATTTTATTATTTGATATTATTGATTGAGCAGTTTGATAGGCCAAGCCCGGCTTCTAGGCTTCTATGTAGGCTTCGCCACTGCCGTCAGTATACCATAATATGAGGCAATCGACCTCACAGGTAACCTGGCCATTCAGCTAGTCTTTTCTGGAGGGTGGTTCCACTATATACATTTTATTAAAAGTGGACACATGATATCTGAGATCATGCATAAGACCGGTGTTTCCTTAATAGAGTCGCGCATGGATCTTGGTATATGGAGGAATTGGTACTGACGGCACTCCGATTTTATGCAATTGGGTGTTCTCTGTTGGCCTGCAGTCGGATTGCAGCATGAGCCAAAAATTGGTTAGGCGAGTAATACATACTGTAACTGATGCTGTTAATGAAAAAATATTGAGAAAACATAAAATTCCCTATGACCCGTGAGTAAGTGTAAGTGGTGAGCAGCTAAAGAAAAATTTAGATATGGCCTACAGCTGACTAGATGTGATTGACGCTATAGACTGCACACTTCTAAAACTTCTAACTTCTAAAAATTTATTTTAGAAATAGCTTGGAAGTGACCACCTCATTCCCAGGGGTTTCTCACGTATTTTAATTCCCATTATTCACCATGTATTCATTTATATCATAATAACCCTTTTTGTACAGTTTTTGTTTAATAAAATATTTAAACTTGGTAATGAGACCTTGTATATTTTCTGGGACTTTGTTGTAATAGCGTGTACATTGCCCCAAGAATGAATTACTGACTCTGGAGTAGAGAAACTGGTATCACAAGCTTGTGTTTGTTCCTAGTGTTTCAGAGTGTTTATCACTTTTTTACTAAAACTACCTTTGTTTTTGTGATCATACATCAATTTTTCATAGATCTACTAATAAATACGGAAAATATTTGTCGGAAATAATTGTTGATTAGCTTTGATGATGATGACCAAGAAAATACAGGTAATAATGTTGTTTAAGACATTATTACATTAGATTATGTTGTCTTTGTAATATTAAAATGTTATGTTTTTAATACAGGACGAGTGACTGGCACTGGGCGAGCTGTTGCAGACATACAAAGATGGCTCATAAATACCCTTTTTACTTAATTATCTAAAATAATAATGTGTGAATTGAAACAAAACATTAAACATCTCAATTTATTTATGATTTTTATTTAAAAATAAAAAAACTCAGTTTGCACTTCAGGTACCTCCGTCTGCATTTTGGCACACAGAGGTAGTAGAGTAGACAGAGGTTTATGCTCCTAT